CAGAAGCTAATCCTTTGCCAACTGTCAATTGTAAAGTGTGCGTTGCACATGGAATTCTCTTAATACCAGGCATTAATAAAAGTGCTTTAACCATTGATGAGGCATTATCAGTAGCAATTACTATTGTTTTTTCTTCAAAATTCCATTCTTGAATTGATTCCTGTAGCAAAGCAGCTATATTTGCTCCAATGTGCGGATAGAATACTAGCTTTAAATCGAGCAATGATTCATGTATTATTATATCATTGCTAATCCCATGTACACGTACAAGTATAACCATGATTCCCTTGAGATATCCTAAAATCTGTTGTAAGACTTACAGAAATAGAATCTGATTCAAGCAAACCTTTAAACTGATCATGACTCCAGTTATATTCTTTTGTAATTAATAGTTAATTGTCTTGTCGCATGGTATTTTGAAATTCAGATTCAATGATTGTAGATAAAATGGTCAATAATAAACTCTGAGATTTGTTCATATTCAATGTTCATGTGTTTTTTGAAGATGTTAAAAATTTGTATGAATATCTAGTTGTTGTTGGTTACCTTTGGTCTATAATTATTAGATCAAAAAATCAAGTAGTATTTTTCATGCTTGCCATGTCATTACTAGGGTCTACTGCTCCATGTTTTCTAGATAAATGATAGATTATTATCACGAATTTTACATATTGATTCTTTTGTTTCCGGAGTTTACATCAAAATAAGCCCATACAAAACTTTCTTTTTTTATATCTCTTAGTTGAACTTGAGCTTTTTGGAGAGCTAGTAGAAACAAATAAACTTGATTCTTGTTCATTATTTTCAAATGGGGTATATTAATTTTCTGTCAGCGTGACAATTTTTATTGTAATACAGTATTCGAATAATTATTCAAAGAATTAATCATTGAACGAAATACATGTATATATTCGATTATTTCTTTATTCACGAATATTTGAATAAGATTCAACCACTAGTGGTTCTCGACATTGTTAAATAATGCACATAACGATAACGATAAGTAATTAATTACTGGATTAGCAAATTATAAAATGCTCCAAAACTCATTCCAAGAATCGTCACCAATCCAACCATAACATTACTCAAAGTTGTAAGGTCATCATTTCTCTCAGCACTTGAAATCAAGTCGCCTGCATTTTGAGAAGGAGAAGTGATTGTTGGTCCACCTACACCAATTGTAACGCCGATGACTTGTGTTTCTGTGTCTCTACACAATATTATTTTTAGGATGGTAAAGTTAGATCATTTTTATTTGCAACTAAAAATCGTATCATATCCTATCAAAACTTACGGCGTTTGTGTCGTAACGACCGGAGTTACCGTCGTGCTATCAAAATATCGATTAGTAATTATGTCAGATGTAAGACGTGCATCAAAAAAGGCACACTGTACATTAAATTAGTTTGCGATCCATCGACGACAGTGGATACAAGAGTCTTGAATGATGTAGTCGTTTGTGGGGTAGGAGACGGTTTTGGTTGAGAATTTCCTGAAGAATTGTCGTTGTTATTACTAGGCTTACTAGTAGTGCTAGTATTACCATTAGAATCACTAGTAATGTCAGTGTTACCATTACTGCTTGTGCCACTGTTGCTATTACTACTTGCAGCAGTGAGTGTGGGAGTTGTGGGAGTTGGAGAATTAGTTGTTTGTGATGGAGTTACGGCAGAATTCGCCGGCGAGGATGTTTGATTTTTAGAAGTGACAGGAACTAAAGCAGAAGTTGCTGTACTTTTAAAATGAAAATGAAAATTTAAATTAATAAGTCGAATAATTGCAAATTAAAATTATTCATAAGCAAGGAATTCTAACCTCGTTCCAGCATTTGATTTCGTGATTGCGATCGAGAATACGAGGCATGATAGTAACATAGACTTGGATATTAGTTTCATTTCTTTGAGTATATAATTTTTGTATGTATTAATTTTTCTTTTCGTTATGTTTATATTTTCTAATTTAAACAAAAATACCATTAGGTTATTTATATCTAGAATATTATTTTAAACTTACTATAAGATCTTTTTTTATTTTCCGTATTTTTGATTTGAATCGTTTCAATTGATTTTTTGTAGTAATGACAAACAAATATATTCACATAAAGTCAAAAATCAAATCTTCGAAACAACGCAAAAAAAACGAACCATCTCCTATTTATATCTAATATACTTCTAAAAGAAAGAAGAATTCATTCCTGAATGTTTTTATGTTTACGAAAAGCCAACTGCAATGATAAATGCACAGCACAAATACAACAGAAACAAGGCTGAAGATGCTGATGACTAATGACTGGGGCTAAGCATTCAAGCTGTTGATATTCATGTATGGCTTTTTGTTCCCAAAACAGTGGGAAATGTATCGGTATAAATTTTTACGCGTGTATGTGTGTGCGTGAACTGTCGAATGGAGCATTATTAATGTGTAGTCATAGGAATTATTATTGTACATTCGCTTCATAAACTGCTAATTGCTTAACTTCAATTCTTTATGATCGATAAAAAGATAATTTTTTTAGGCCTATGATTTATTTTAGAACTTCATTTTTCCACCGAAAACATTTTTGGCACCGATGTGTTGTATGAATTAAATCTGTAAGGTTTAAAATTATTGTTTTACAAATTGTGGGAAAAATGAATTATCGAAGTAAAGTTTTTCTAGAAAAGAGAAACAATAAATAGAATTACAGTGGCGCATTGATATTTTAGAGGTCGTTCTTTTGCGAAAAACGATGTGACGAGTTTTGCTGTTGTTTTGTTGTTAATATTTTTATTTTTATTATATGTAGTAGCGGTAGTAGTACTGTAATTAACAAATGTACACCTTAACACAATCACAATCAATAGTTTTTAGAGAAAAAATTTTACATTAACACTAACTCCGAACCTAACCTAGCCATAACTCTAGCTTATAACACGCATTTTCATGCAAATTTAGCGGAGCCATACTCGCCATATTTGAGGTTACGTGTGGGAGAAAATTTGTTGGTTACGTTGGTAAAAGGGTACACAGTACCACTTACAATGACAGTTTATGGAATACGCCGTTTGAAAGCGCAATCTCATTAATCCCAAGGACAAGAATTTAAAAAAAAATTAAGCTAAATCCAATTACAAACTGTTAAACTATTTAGATTTCTCCTGTTGACTCCGGTTTAACGAGAGTCACTGTGTGTAAATAAAATTGACCGCCTAAACTGTATACAGGATCTGGTACGACATCCCGAAAACCATAATCCCGACAAGCCATAAACACGACAAACGAAATCCCGAAAGCACAGCATACCGAAAGCACGAAATCCCGAATGCATGAAATCTCGATATTTAAAATCTTAATATTTCACTTTATTAATTCATTGATATATCTGGTATTTCGTCCATTCGAGATGCCATGCATTCTGGATTTCGTGCTTTCGGTATGCTGTTCATTCGGGATTTCGTTTTATTGGGCTTATGTATTGTCGGGATTGTGATTGTCGGGATGTTGAACGTCACCCATGAAAAAAAACAAACACAAAACTTTGATTATTTTACATCGAAAATTCTAATTGATTTTACAACAATTGAAACTGAAGCTATATACGTACTTGTAATATTTAATATGTATATTTTTAAATACTTATTAGAGTGGTGTGTATTAATTTGGAATTCTGATTCGAAACGATTATGTAATCCGGAATTGGTGTAAATTCCGAAATGATACATACGTATAGAACATTTCCATCATTCCCAAACGACGTCAGTGACTCACTAAAGAATCGGAACACGGAAAAAAATGGCGAGATTAGAATATCTCGTCATTGAAGAATTATCGGAGACCAAAAGTGGAATTTATTCCTTTAAATAATGATAATCACTTGATCCAATTTTCATTTTCATCTATCTTTTGAAATTAAACTAACTTGAATTTTTAATTTTTTTAGCGTTCCGTCTATTGTGACTGATCTGGAGGACAATATTTAAAGGCGAGTTTCTCTTTAAGGAAGTATCAGCTATTGTTATTATACATTGCTAGACTAAGACTACCATTCTATATCGATATACATCACCGATCTTTTCTGGCATCAAATTGACCAACCTTTCACAAAAGTCAATTTAAAAGTGTTCTATAGATATTGTATATAGTGGAAAGAGAGTTTTTATACTTATCTTATAGGCCTGAACTGTTTGTCCAAATCGGTGTCTTCAATGGCGAGATATGCGAATCTCGCCATTTTTTTTCCGCGTTCCGTTTCTTTAGCGAGTCACTGTATAACAAAAATACTAATAGTTTTTAGCCATCTGGAATCTGCAGATACTCTATATTTAATTCTATCTGTGTGTAGATATATCTATTGAGCTTTTTCTATTACAAGCTGAAAATATTATTTTTGAAAAATACTTTACTTACATTAAGAATCAACCTTTGTTTTTATTAATAAATTTGATTTAACAGTATAAGTGGAGTCAGTAGAAAAGGTCAAATTACTTGTTCCACTCCACCTCACATGTTCTATATACGTATAACATTGTGTAGATTTAGAATCAATCAAAGTTGATTCTAAATCAACCTAACTAAATCTAAGTTGATTTGAAATCAACACACATTTCGTTCCAACTTATGTACATCAACGTCAACTGCTGTTCATCACCACTTAAATCAATAAATCTCATAAGAAAGCCTGCACAAATAATATACATCAATAATTTTATTTAAAGTGCAATATATACCTCCATCTATCATTAAATCAACTCTGTTATTCTCAATATTCATAAACTTTCCTTAAAAGATGGAATTGATGGATGATATGGCTTTTGAATTCATAAAGAATCTTATAGCGAGAAACTAGCACCATCAAAATAGCCTCGCGGTTTTTATGTATGTGTCATTATTGATAAGTTTCTATAAGTTCCGAACGCATAAACCTTCACTGTTTTTAGCCATCATTCTTTATAGTCGTTATGCTGATAAACCAACAATAGCTAAATAAACGAGATATAATTAGAATTCATTTGAATATAAACGAAAAATTATATTCTTACCACCACCTTCGCCATGTTCAGTCGTATAAAACTGTTACCACTGAACCTGACATTTCGTTTCATTGCCTCTAGCATAGAAAAACAAGACTAAAGCGATACTTTTATGAAATGTGATCGATTGGTTGATTGGTTGACTATTAGTTATACAGGATTTGGAAATCAATTAAAATATATTTCCTTCCAGAGGAACCCGTTGTCATTTCTAAAATTCGGTTGACCGAAGATAGGTAATGACAATTTGCAGCTTTGTAATCGCAATTTGGATGTCTGTAGAGTCACGCATGTAGAAGGTAAGACCTCTATGTGGATATTAATATCACGATACTGAGTGCTGGATTCCAGAACAAGCTCAATGTAAATGCTTTGATATTAAATATTCGCCACGGTATCCTTAGTTTATATGCATATCAAATTCGCAATACAGTACATGTTTAGTATTTATTTTTTTTTAAAGATCAAACTCTTATCATCATTATATTGCGCAATTTTACAGGAAGAAGCATCCGTCTAAGCTCGTTAAAAAAGATTATCACATCGGGCCACGTTTTTAGCTTAAAATGTTTTTTATAATAATCAAATTGGCCAAGTAAATTATGGTTAGCTTTTTCGAAATTTATCGTTATTAAAAAAGCGCGTTTACTCGATGCAAATGATGAAAATTCGGATACGTTGACAATAACAAAAAATTGCTATAATATTATGAAAGTTAATATCTAATTTCTTTACGTTCTTTTTGAGTAAATCTACGTTTAGTTCATAAAAATAATACGAAAAAATACTGTAGAGCGCTGACTATAGTATCCCCTTACGCGTAGTACCGCCAACGATTTGAACATCGATTTTATAAAATACCCGGTACTAAGCACAGCGTTAGTAAAGTATCATACATCGTAATTTCTATCATTATTTAAATACCGTATACTCACGAATTTAAGCAACCCTCTACGTCATCATTTTTGAGGTCGAAAATTTAAGAGGTTGCTTAAATTCGGGTAGTTCAGAAATGCCTTAAAATACTGGGTAGGGGTCGGATAAATGGAATAAAAAATGTGTCTAACGTTAGAGTCCTACGAGAAGCGTACAGTCAAGTTCTTAAAGAAGTAACGTATGGTGAAAAAAATCAATGCGTACAACATACGCATGTATGAAAATACGCATTTGTATTCTATACTACGTACCAGTACTGAGTACGTACATGTATTCGTATATATAAAATGACCCCAGTTGTGTAAAGAGTGCATAGACTCAATGTTTTGATCGTTATTTTCGTTGTGGGAAGTTTCAATAGCAATAATATAACGATAGATAAATAGGTAATAAAAATTAATAAAATTATTTTATCTATTAAATAATAATCTTAACAAATTGGTTGCTTATTTTCGGGAGTTGCTTAAGGAGTATACGGTACCTAGTCAATTGTTTTAAAACAATATACATGTATAAGGGGTATTTTACATAATTAAATTTTCGATGAATCATTGCATCTCTATGCATAGTACCCCTGGGTATAAATGTAGATGTAAAATCATACCCAGCGCTCTACAGTACGTGCTCAATCAAATCTCGATATGCCGATACTCCGTTATAACGATTTTTATAATAGATTCTCAATATATCTGCAGAATTTATTACTAATTGTCCCCGACCGTAAAGAAAGATTAATTTTCTTAGTATTTTGACAATTTGAACAAAATTTCATCCAAATGTTTGTAAGCTTATTACGGGATATTATGATAACATAACCAAATTCATGCTAATAAATATCAACTGTTTATATTTTAACGTTAATAGATGTACTGTTTAATTTATTTCCACAAGATGCGAAAAAGAAATTTAGGTTCATAATCTCATTTTTCTTGTCGAAATAAATAACCTTTCTAGCATTGCGCCAGGCGTTGAAAGAAATGTTCTAAAGTATTATACATGTTTTCTATCTGATTTCTCGTATACTAACTATGGCTAATCACAAAATTTTAAAATTAAGTAATATAACAAGTCTTTATTTTCTATAAATACTGTAACGCGATACTAACAAAGCCTAGAAATATAGACGAGATCATAAATGTGTTAGCATTTAATGTAGCATCACTTGAATAGGATTTGCTGTTGGAATTGAGGTTAGTAGAACTAGCAGGAGGAGTAGTAGTAGCAGTGGTAGCATTAGCGTCAGTAGTGTTTTGACCAGTAGCCGAAGGTGTACCATTAGTTGGATCGGGAGTTTCCGTACTGTTTGTGGTGTCTGTAGGAGTAAATCCTGGAATAGTTCCTGTGATTCCTTGAATATCGAATTTTCCAGAGAAAGATAAATTATCACCCGACGTAGTTCTAATAAAACTATAAAATACGGTTTTAATTGAAAATTCTGTAAAAAAATATATATATTTGTTATTTAGATTGCATACTAATAAGCTCCTGGAGGTCCTAATTCTTTTGGAACTTCCCAGCTTGGAGTCTTCTTTTGAGTAGCTTTCACATTTGCGATGTTTTTTACTAAAATATAATTTCCGTCAGATCCAGTGACCAAATCAACATTGACCGTACCCAATTTTTTAAGTAATGGCTCTTGTCCATTGTCTTCCCATGTTACCACGTATTTTTTGTTCGCTTGCCATGTAATAGAAGTATAAGGAGAAGTGAGAGCAATGTTTGCATTGACTGCACTAGATATTATGCCTACGACAAGTAAAAAAGTCGTTGTGAATTTCATTTTATGAATGTTAAGAAGTTTTATATATTGAGTGTATGAGTTTTCGTTGCTAACCAGGCAACATATAAATTCAATCTTTTAATATCACGGATATGGGAGAAGACAAGAAAATTATTTTCTTTTGCAAAATGAAAAGTAAATTGTGGTATTATTCTCAGGAGAGCAAGAGAAATTGTGTTAAAGACATTCAATACTTCTTAGCCATATTAATACTTCTTACATTCAATAAATGAGAAACAAACGCATGGGAAGATTTAATTAATTAATGCTAGTTCTATTACGCCAAGTCTTTTATAATTAATTATATATACCATGGATAATTTTCGTTCATTTTCGCATGTACGATTGAACGTGATAGTTTCAAATTAATTTGTGCTACATGTGCTAGATTTCCGGTACTATGAATCACTTATGGTATACCGATACCGATACGTAATGTAAATCTACAATCTTCAATACAAATTACATGTACATGTAATATTTTAATTCATTATATTTTCTTTCGATACGTATGATACTCGATATAATTATGACTGCATTATTACACATGCATGTAATTACTATAATGCAACTTATAAACATAAAAGAATTGTCAGCTTTTTATTGCCGAATGTTCTAGAAAAAGAATGGTGGCCTTGGTCAGTCAGATTACCCCAATATGAATATCGGTTCCAAATTCTAGCAGACTTTGAATGGCATAGAACAAACGCTAATCGCAAAAAAAATCTCATGCCCCCTTCGGCAATAAGGGAATTCTAACTATGAATATGTGTATATTTTGTAGGACATGAGGTAAATCATTTGTAACAGATAACCTAAATACAAATAAAGGGCTTGTGAAATGAAATAAACAAACATGATCTTTTGGCACTTTTTTTTACAACAATAATCATTTTCAAAGTGACAATAAGTTCGAACATGATCTCTTGGCTCTTTTTTTTTACAACAATAATCATTTTCAAAGTGACAATAAGTTCGAAAAAGTTACTCAAAGAATTCAATGACAGCAAATAATAAATTAGAAAAAGAAAAAAATATGATGGCAAATCAATTTTTCGAAAATTGCTAAATATGTTAAAAATATATTTATCAGATATCGACTTATTTGGACTTGTAAAAAAGAGTTTTATTCACGCATAAAATTTCGGTGAAATTTTCCTCTGGGGTGTATGATATTTTTATCATTTTCTATGTTTGTCATCTCTAAAAAATAAATATAGATTGCAAAATATAAATCTCGGATTTATTTAATTTACGTTAATTTTTTTCTCATATATTATCGTATTCTGTATTTAGAAATCAAATTTTACTTAAATCTGAGTCAGTAATTGCGCTATTCGCAGCACTAATACTGTATTCAAATATCACAGGACGCATTAAAAGGTTTAGCACTTACAATAATCGTTGTGCATTTATATGCAGAACAGAATTACTAAACTTTCAAATAAAAAGAGCTCCGAGGTAAGGTTTATATTTTACTTGCCAGCATGTAGCGCGGATTTTGATAATTACAATTAACTTTTACAAACTCAGTATCCAGAAGGTCGTTGACCCACCAGTTCTTATTAGGTGCATTTTCATATGTTTGAAATATGAAAAACATACCATATAGGCCATTTTGTGAGGTGGCCAATTTTTCATTACCGTAAAAAATGAACCACCATCCATCCTTATCATCAGCAGACGCTCCAATTTAAGTATACTCGGAATCTGTTGACATAACAAGGAAGTCCTCCATCACCTAACATGCATGTAATACGCCTCTTAATCTCAGCAAGCTAAGTAGGAAGTGGAACCATGACAGGATTCATACATCATCAGGGCGGGAACAATTTGAAGAGCAATCATCAATAATAATATTGCAACGAAAGGGTTAATTCCATGTTTGACAAAGTAATTAAACAATTTGTGATAATTAATATAAATGTAAATTTTTAAAATTCGGTTTTTGTTGCTTATATACCGTAAAATACTCTTAATAGTATGGTACATAACTCATCAATAGATTGTATTTTATAAATTCAATAAACTAAGAAGTAAATGCAAAACTTAATCCGTGAATATGATAGAATATACTTTCTTGATCATATTCATGGATTAAATTTTATATTTACTTCTTAGTTTATTGAATTTATAAAATACAATCTATTGATGAGTTTAGATGATGTTATGCACCATAGCTTTTGAAAAAGAACCCTTGCGAACAATTTTCACAGTATCACAGGTAAAAGGGTAAGGTTTACGTGTCAACCTTGTGATAAACTAACGCGTTTACTTAATGTTTGCTTAGGTTTCAGGTTTATTAAAGTTTACCAAGGTGATCAACTAACGCATTCACATACGTAATGTTTAATTTTATACATGTATTGGGTTTACGTATATCGATATGGTTTACTTTAGAATAAGTTTTAAAATTACATCGGCTTACTTAAAGTTTAACAATTATAAACCTTACCCCTTTTACTTGTGTAAACATAAAGCTGGTAATAATACAATAATTTAAAATGAAGATACTGTATCGGTATCCTCTTCACGGACCACAAATTAACCAAAACAATTTATTTAATCTAAAGGATATATAGAGATATAAAGTTTATGCATGTAGTTTTTAGGTGATATTTTACAAATACTCACGAATTTCAACATCTAGCTTTCGTATAATGTTTCCAAGTGACACCGAGTAATTATGAATAATTGCGATGCCTGTCTCTATGCCCAAGAGCATATATACAACGAATTTCGTTTAAGACTAACTAAATCGATCGAAATGCGAATTTGATTAATTATTCACGAAGTATAAATAATTTTTTCAGTGTATTTCGAGTATTCTATTAAAAATCGAAATCTTGTATCAGAACATCGCTAAATATATGCAATAGCGAAACATTGACTGCGGGTTAATTTAATCATGTACACGTATTAATAATTTGGGATGACTTTGGGAATAACAAGATTCAGAAAATTCAAATTTCTTGTTGAATATTCTGTTTGTATTTCAAGTCTTCCACGTTTTTTAAATGTCCCAAAAATGAGAGCCAAGAAAATTGTGTGGTGACGAAGAACGAATTATATCCGGAGTTAACTGTACACATAAATCAAATTTAGATATTTTATTTCCATCGCTTCAATTTCAGTAAATTAGAGTGCCGTATCGGCATGCGATGTCGTGAACAAATACGTCTATCCATTTTTTCTGATTTCTTGCGACCGAGCAAGAGAGTAAATCGCCTTGGCTTAATAAAGAAATTTTAACGCGGAAATCGATTTACACTTCATTTCTATGAATAAATCAAATCTACCGCTACAGTTGGTGAAAAAGTAACCGAGATTTTTTTGATGTATAATATAATGAATCTGGTGCATAACATCTAAAGTCATCAAACGTTTGTATTTTATAAAATGTATTTACTACTTCTTTACTAAGAAGTAAATACAAAATTTAATCCGTGCATATTATAGAATAGGCCCTAAATTTTGTATTCACATCTTAATAAAGAAGTTTATACATTTTATAAAATACAAACGTTTGATGACTTTGATATTATGCACCATACAAATTTATGATAATACATTTCCAATAAAATAAGACAATATCAAAAGAATTGGAATATGGTAACTAAGTATAATTAATTTAATTGTCTAAAAACATCATAACTTTATATACGACGACTAAAATCGGTTTCAACTTCTTCGTGTTTACGCAAATATATATTTATCATTTAATATTTTATTTATTTATTTCATTCTAGAATTATATATTTGGAGTATATAATAATGCACAATCAATTAACGTCAAGTCTATTAAATAAAACACTTAAAGAGAATTAACAAATACTGTGCACAGTAATAAGCGTAAAGTTTCTAACTGCAAATTTCTTTGAATGCGAGTTCGAAAAAATCGAAATAAAAATGTTAAAAATTATCTTAAAGATAAAGATATAAAAGACTTTACTCGAGCTACACGAGTTCTCAAACTACGGTCCGGAATATTATTAGCGATACGTACGTATACTGTACGTCAAAAATTAAAACCATAACGATAAGAACGAATGTTCCAGCAAATCCTTTTTTGCCGAAATTTGTTGTCGTTTCCTTAATAATTATGACGTTTCTTAATTTTTATATTCTTAATAAGTCCTATACTCGATATTATATTAAAACTTTACAACGCAAATATAAATGTTTAAGAAACTGTACTAATCATTTGAAACTTGATCTCATTCAGTATCTAAATGTAATTTAATTCATTGATTTTCCATGGATCTGTTTTCATACTGAATCTGCAGGACGATCACGTTTTTTTATATTTGTATTAGATAATATGTTATTGATCATATATCATCTATCGCTATACTAAAAACAAGGTCACAATACGTATTATGGTGCATAGCATCTAAAGTAATCAAACGTTTTAATGAAACGCTTAAATTATTACAAATGCCTAAATGCCATAATTCAAGATATTCAATGGCAACTATAATTTAACGATAAGTTACAACCGTGTGTCGGGACGTTTAAAAGCGAACCGAATAAAAAATCTCGAGGTAGTCCACGTTTTTTCCAATGATTCTCCTAAAGTTTTAAATAAGCCATATGTTGATTCTACCGACAAGATTGACATTAAAAATAAATGTCTTAATTTTATTTTATCGGGAGTAACAATTGCGATGCAGTAATTTTTTAATGAAAGAGCAGAATAAGGAAGCTAGATGTTTTGAGTCTATATATTGTTTTATGCGTCTTTAAAAAAAATTTATAACTTGCAACTTTTTTATACTCCCAATAATAAAACGAGAACACTTTCAGGGCAGAAGAAAACTAACCAGTCTTTATCCAGCAAAATAGTCAAATACGGAAACCGCAAAATGAAAGTTTATACTTTATTTTTCTCTATTTTCATAATTTCTACATTTATAATGCATGCAAGTGCTATGACTATTACACAAGACAAATCAACATCCCCAAAACGAACAAAACAATCCTCGATACCATCATCAGAACCACCATCATCAAAACCGTCAACCGCACCTACACCCTCAAATGTTCCGAAGTCGTCACCACCCACTACAAAGAAAAAGCAATTTCCCAATGATTTATCAAATTGTGAGAAATTCTTTGATGTGAATCGATGCGACAATTGTCAGAAAACCACATTCGATGCTGTCACTACAAGAGATTCAAGCACAGCCGGATGCTTTGATTTATATTTCTTGGATTTTCAAGAAAACAATCAATCCCTACAAGATGTTATTGGTGAAAGTTGTAATAAAAATTGTGATTTCGGAACTGTTGACATGTATCGTACCAGTATACAGAATGCTTGCGTCGCGAATCTAAGAAATGACATGAATTTATTACTTAATCCATCATCTGTATACGAAAATTACACATCAAATAGTATAATTTCGACAGTATTTCGAATTTTCTATTTTGCCGAGCCAACAGCACAAAGTTTCTGTATGCATAATGCAAAGGCTCCATTTTCGTATTGTCCAGTGGACGCGGTTTCAAGTTACAACACTCATGCAAAGGGATCCGAAGTAAATGCTATGCTTAATCTTAGCCCCCCAAATCTAAAAGCATACACAACATCAGGCAATGTAACTCGGCTCTCAAATAAAAATATCATTTGTAATGACTGCTACAAAAACATGACAGCCGTTTGGCACAACTACTTTAATAATACGCCGCCAATTATTAACGGATTGAATACGTCAATTGCAAACGAGGTAACTTCAATGCGAGCTAATTTGATAAAGAATTGCAATTATAATGATAAAGTTGGTAGTGCAGATTCAAGTTATCGCGTTGGACATTTTAAAAGTTTTGTTCTAGTTTGTCTGGTGTTTTTGGGCTTTACTAGTTTCTATTAATTATTTTTCAATAATCTTTAAAGATTTTTTTTGGTGGCTATTTTTTAATAATTTTTGTGGTGGTAGCGGTAGATTGTATAATTTTTGGTAGAGCGGGCGGGTAGGTAATTTTTGGTAGAGCGGGCGGGTAGATAATTTTTGTGGTGAAATTACCAATTTTGTAGAAACAATAATTTTATTTCTAATATAATATTAATTCATACATGATACACATACAAAAGATACCAAAAATGAAAGTAATATCATAGTTTATAAAACCTAAAAGCAACAAAATAAATCAAAGAAACCAATGACAAACCAGGAACATATGGTTTAACCATCAACACCACCACTACCAATCCTACGAGCACTCTCAAAAGAAGCTACTTTCGGACTACCCAAACCAGATCCAGGTGCCGTTCCAAAATGTCGAGGTTCTTTTGCTGCTGCAGAAGTTAATGGCACTTCATAGGTCTCTTCCCTGTAAATATTTTGTGAGGTTGATGCGTATTTGCCGCCGCGATTACGACAGTAGTGGAATGCGTGGAATGTTCGAAATATGAGGTTGTTGACGAGGATTATTGAGGATGTTACTAGTGTTAAGAAGGGGATGATGTCGTATATGATTGTGTATTTTCTGTATAAAATCTTTCATTTATTTTGTCGGTTAGAGAAAATAATATTTTCGAAATGATTGACTTGATAATTGATTTAATTTAAATAAAATTTATAATTACTTGTATTATAAACTGTGGAATATCTTCAATAAACAGTGCAAAAAAACTCCCCCAAAAAATACATCCAGTAGCTTTTATCGAAAATGGGGCATTAAAAATCTCCAGTCCTGCAAATCGTGATCCGATTATTCTTATTACGTCGACATCAGCACCACTGAGGATAGTGAAAATTGTGGTGGTACGCATATTTGAGTTGAACCAGTTTGAGAATTTGTAGTTTTGCGCGGTTTCTCGGAGGATTATTAGAAACGCTAGGATCCCATTAAATGCTACTGAGAAGCAAAGAACAATGATACTGTGCATGATGGGTTAGTAGTTATTGTAAGAAAAGAAATTATTCGTAAGAGAACGAGCGAAGACAAGCTGCAGTAAAAGTAATTTACCTTGGATAAAATAGACTTGAAACGTCTTGTCCGTTGTTCACAATAAAAAGAACATCAAATGTGGAATCTACAAAAATCAATGCGAGTTGAAAAACTACCGAATTATTTCCCTAATAAATATAATTACTCGTTAAATAAAAATAAATATTTATGCTTATCGTTGTACTCGCTAAAAAGAAAAGTTCAACTTACTTCTGGATGTCGAAAACGACCAAACAAAAATGTCATGAAAACAAATCCTATTCCGCCAACCACATAAGTCAGTTTATACTTGTATTTTTCCCATAAATCAACTTTAGAAAAAAGCACAATTTAATATACATGTATAATTAGCATCTCAGATTTATAACGATAAATATTCAAAAAAGTACAAACGTGCAGACGTAGCTCCATAAGTCTCATCAAGCAAATAAGTAAAATTCGACAACGAAATCTGTGTATAAGCTTTAAATCGCACTAAATGATCGATATCTGTAATTATACGCCTGGTATTAATTTTTGAATTTTGCGATGCTTCAACTTTAAATTCCATGAGCACTTGTTGTGATGCTGTCTTGGGGTCTTGTTGCCAACGTTTTGAAGTGCTAAGACGATTGTCTTCGATTGGTGTGAATTTAATTAATTCGTCACGAATTCTGATGAATAGTATATTTTTATCATCGTTTGATAAACTTTTAAAGTATTCAGAGCCTTCAGGAGTTAATCGTAGTAGACAGGTTATTCCGTCTAGAAAAAATAATTTATATTGAAAGAAATTTTGCTGGATATTAAAAAAATTGTGATTTTTTGGTGTATTTATACCTGAATAACGGTCAGAGTAATTATCTAATAAAATAGAAATAAATTCATTAAAAACCTAATTTGAATAGAAATTAACGAAAAAATCAACTAACCACTATACAACCGATATCCATTCTTCTTAATCCCAAGAATCGGCTCATTCAGTTCCTTATCTTTTACAAAATTATTATCCATTAACACATAATAACTAGCGCTCGGCTGATTAAACGTACTCGGCAAAATTCGAATAGAAACATTATAATCGTTATCGGTCGTCGACGCCAATTCAGATAACCAGTAGATTGTTTGACGTAATAAATCATCTCCATTTATGCCTGTTTGGTAGATTGAGATATTGCCAATCGACAGTGCGACTGGTTTTATGAATGCTAAAGTGATGTCTTTTAAGGTATCAGAGACGATGGCGTCGATTCCTGGGGTTGTACGGTTTATTTTAAGATTTCCGTATCCATTATCTTTTTATCCCCCAAAAACATTAATATTTAACGTTAATTTGTAATATTAGCGAAAGTTTAGAAGAGAAAATATTCACCATAGCTAAATCTCTTCAAATCAGTAGTTACAATACTAAAACTTGTATTAGTAAGCGTAGAAATGCTCCATAAACTATTATTCGGCAATACATCGTAAACATCCGACATACGCACATTATCCGGAATATCCCACTTTCCATAAGGATTTCCCTTCGAATCATAAATAAGTCCAGTAACACTACTATTGTCTGTTCCCTTCTTGTCATAAACAGTCAACAAAAATCCACCATAAAATAACGTCGAAATACCATTAACTTCATATTGGGATTTCACTAATGGTATATCCTCAATTTTATACACCGATCCACTAGTTAAAAACCACACTTGCTTAAATAGCGCCTGTATGTTGTTGCCAAAGCCTATTTCCATTCTCAACAGACACTTCAACCCGTCAGAGTCATATGGAGCGTTGCAAGAATAAATGTATAACATATTCAGTTTCTGCGTTGTTTCGTATAAGAGAAAGGGTTGTTCGAATTGTTTGGCGTTTGGTCGTAAGAATGTTACGTAGGCTTCCCAGTTTGAGAATAGAATGTCGGAAATATTTTCTTTATTTGATTGTGTTTCGCGTGTTTTGTTTAGTGTGTATGCTAAACCGTAGCCACCATCTAGCATTGCAAATGGAAATGCAGAATGCGTTGCGATTGAGAAATCTCCACTTGTTATGTTTTTGATTGTCCCATTGCTATAGCTGTATATTCAAAATTAATTAATTTTACTAATAGAATAGAAGGAAATATTTTCATGATAATTACACAGTGCTGTATTTTATCCATCCAAGTGTATTATTTATTGAAGCGCTATATAGCCAAAAGAATCCACTATCAGGTTTAAGGTTTTCAACTAATATCCCTGAACTTGCAAAATCTTGTACAGGAGTCATTGGAAAGAAACTGCAAAAAGAAAAATCAATTAGGTTTTCATTGCAAAAAAAAATTAAAAAATAAAACAACCACTCACTCCTTGACAGTTCCATCCAAATCCATCAACAACCCAACACGATAATAATTATAATCATTCTTCGTGCCAATTTTCTTAGTCACATTAACATAAGACACCAGAAAATACGGCAGCTTCATAACTCTACCAAAGACTTTATTGCCTGCACCCCATTTTTCACATACCAATGATTGCATTTGTGGCGGCAAATCAACATTTATTCGTATAATACTCAAGTCTGGGCGAATTATCCGGAAATATAGTCGTGGCTCTATGCAAGTAGTGTCGTTTGGATTTTGTTTCGCTAGCCATAGGAAAAGTGATGAGTCGTCAAAGTGTTGACCGCTGCCGCCTTGTGCTATTAAACCCGGATTTGTCTCGGTGAAGTTATAGATATTGTAGGCTTGTGCTGCTGTTGGTGATTTGTTTAGTAGTGATGATGGTGATATTGATAATAGTAATAGTATGAGCAAGCATAGGAAATTTATATAGAAAATTTCTGACATCGTCGTCAGAATTTTCTAAATACTTTTCGTTTTTAAATCTAGTTTCAATAAATAATTATCGTTATGTCTGTTAATTTGTTGTTATTTGTTAGTATTTGCACGCGTCAGATTCTTACACACGCCACATAATTACTAGAATAAATTTATTTTGTTTATCATATTTGCGCTTTTTGTGCAATTCAAACTACTAATTCATAAGAATTCAAAACTTCTATTTAACAAATAAATGGCAAAGCCTGTAAGTCAAGAAAGAAATAAAGGACAACAAATGATGGTTCGTAAAATCGTACAATAGAATAATTATTGTTCATACACCGCCTTGTTAATAAATGCGAGTGCATCTATTGTCGAGGATTATCAAATTTTATAGTATTTAAAGTTAGCGTTAGGTTATTTTACAAGCGTTGAAAGACAACGTTGACCAAATTTTAAATGAAATTCGCCATATTGTTAAGTTTCAAGTTTTTACCTTTTGTGCTTTAAATTATTTACGTATCAGGAATTAATATTAATGACTATGAAAATCACCGTGCGTCTAAATTCATGTTTTTCTATTGCCACTAAATATGCTAAGACTTAGCATTTATCGTTATGACGAATTTCCCATTTAAATAAGGTTTTCAAAAAAATTTAGTTTATTTTCAAAGCTTTAAATAATATAATCATTGGTGTCCTAGATGCTATAAAATCAAAAGATCTTTGTATTGACAAGACTCATATTCCTTATATTTTCTATCACTAAATGTGTATGTATTTTGGGAATGCTAATCATTGATTCTTTGTTCTTTAAAGTACATAATTTGCATATTATTTTTATTTGCAACTGGAATATTGAGCAGATTATATCATATCGATATGATTGTGTTTAAAGCTGACTAGGATGCGCCGGCGCATAGCTGATTCAGTCGAGCTAATTTCTTCGATGCGGCGGCGCAAGTCGATCTCTGAAAAATTTCTAAATTAGTAAACCTATCGTTTTCATTATAAAAAGCTATTTATGATTCAAATTAACTTGTTATAATTTAATTAATGTATTACAATATATTAATATTGATATTGATATTGGTGATAGTTAAATCAAAAACCATTCATGCGTTTTCGCGTTTTTCTCTAATGAATCAAAAACCTAAAACTGCCTTTATTAATTATTATGACGAAACAGCATGATGGATACGACAACAAACTAATAATATCACTCTTGCAGAAACATGGCAACAAATAATGAACTCGCTCTTCCCAAAACACAACCATCTTTTCTATTTTTACAACGATAATATATATTCTAAATAAGGAAATTCACATGATTGTCACTTGAGCAAGTTAGCCGAAACAAAAAATGCAAACTTAGTCACGCTGGTATTTTGTTGCCGGCTTGAAACACTAATATGATTATGGTAAATGACACATCCGATTAATGTCAACATACTCGGATATCACGAAATTGATCGGGTTCTAAGTGAAAACATTAACACCTTTAATAAGTCCGAATGATACAATCGAAAGTTTGATCTACGATCTATCTTCCGGTTGGAGTCCAGAAAAATTGTACTATTACCATGCAGCCACAAGATACATTTATTCAATGCTGCGTAACTGAACCATACCGTAACAGATTACTTCTATATTGTATCGGGGACTCCTGAATGGATTCAAAAGGATTTAATGCGGTCGAATAGTTCGCCATAATTATCAAAACTGTTCTGATCGCGTTATATGTTGTTGTGAAACTGGACAATCGTATAAACCCCGGGTCTGTGTTCATTTACAGTACCCTTCAAAAGTATCCCGTTCGAAAATCGTGAAGAAATGGAAGGAAGAAATGACGTTGAAGTTCTCCCCTGGCCGTCGATGTCGCCCGACCAGAACCCAATCGAGAACGTCTGGGGGCTCATGAAAATGAACCTAGCAAAAAAAAAATAGGTCAATTAGAGGTTTGAAGGGTGAGTTAGTGAAGGAATGGAGTCGTTTACCTAAAGAATATGCTGTTAATTTAGTTAGAAGCATGAGAAGTCGTGTGGAGGCCCTAATTGAATCTGAGGGCGATTAAACAATCTTTCTGATTATACAACTCATTGTAACAAATATCACTGTTATAGAGATAGTCGTCGCAGACTTCTCGAGCCAATAAATGCCCTGTTTATAATCGAAAATATAAATAATCTTGACCCATCTAGTATTATGTTTATAGCAAAAGCCTACCTAATGGTATGCGAAACCAAATAAACTTCGAGTATTTCGATAATTATTATTTTTAATAACTCATACATTCTTGTAATTGTTGACTTCGCTGATATCGATGATTTCGAAATGCGTAAATTCTACATGACTAATTATATTGAATTTTATTTCTGCTTTACAATGATCCTACTTAGGGAAATCAAACAATAAATTAAATACTAATTTTTTATGTGATGGCATGAACTTAAATTTTTGACTTACCATACTTCCGTGCCGAGTCAGAGATGCGGGGATACTTTTGACGGGCACTGTAAATGAACACAGATCCGGGGTTTATACGATTGTCCAGTTTCTAGATAATAAATTCAAAAAAGAAATATATTTATCAAAAATTTTTTATATGACGAAAAAACAGTTACAAAAACCTAAGAAAATCACTTTTAAAATCAACTCGCTAAATAATAAAGTATGAAAATAATTAAGTCAAATATTATATAATATATGTTACAGTTCTTAATAATAATATATTTTTTATAAATAAACTCATATTGAATTATTATTGTTATATAGATATAATATATATAATTAACTTAGTGTTAGTATTCAAAATTGATTAATTATTTTGATTACTTGATTAATTATTTTAAATAAATTTGATTAATTAATTTCAATTTGAATTTAAAAATTTATTTCACAATTCAAAATCGATTCTCAAGTACAAATTATAATGATAATAATGATAATAACAGTAATGACAACCATGAGACTGATTTGGAGTTTCCTTTTTATTAGTGAAGTTGTTCTTGATTGATTAGTTGAATTTGTAAAAATCCTATAGAGTATTGTCATCAGATTGTAATCTTGAATATGTTTTATTATTATCTGTTGTTTTATGAGTATCATTCAAAGTTTGGATTATTATATTAGTATTAGTATCACTATTAGTTATTACAATAGATTATTGATTGTGAGAATAAGTTATAAATATTTGCCATGTTTTTATAAGTAAAATCATAATTTTTACAAAGAAACCTTTTTAAGTACACTCTTTATAAATATACATTTTTCTGTGTACAATAAAAATACTCTCTATAAATCATTTCACGTGATACTTGATTATATATTTTCATAATCATCCAATAAAATTTGTCAATTTGTATTCTATTTGTTTTAATATCATTTTTTCAGTCTTATACTATATAATTATTATAAAAAATCTGATTATTATAACATTTACGAATTAGTTATTATAAAAATCTTGGTCATTTTTATACTTATTTGCTTTCTTTGTCCATTATAACAATCTGATATAGAATATTACTTTGATTAATAAGATAATTAAACTGATTATAATTATAAAATATAATTTAATGGTTTCTTGATGATTATATATAATAATTGCAATAATGAGTATTATGAATAAGTATTATTCTTTGAGTTCTAAAAAAAGACAGTACTCGTTTCTGAACATTTCTTACAATTTAAAATTGAGATATACTTATTTATTTCTATTTTCGTGCACTCAATATCTTAAAAAAATTTGCTTTAGATTATTAAGCAAATGTGTTCAGAATGAAAATTTAGATATATTTGTATTAATATTGATAATATAAATAAAATTTGAGATATTTTTTGTATATATACCTATTTTCATATACTAAATATCTCAGAAGTTTATTATAAAAATCTAGTTTAGATTATTAATTAAATATGCTCAGAATAAAAATTTACATTTTTTTAATAATAAATAATATTATAAATAAATTTTGAAAGCTTATTTTCTTGCAAATATCTCAAAATTTATTAATAAAAATCTAGTTTAGGCTTAAAATAATACAAAAGAATTAAAACAAAATTGGTAGTATTAATCACACAATAAATTAAATAAAAAAACAAGAAATAAATCCAAAAATATATAATGAGAAAAAAATATAAATTTAATTAAGTATATAATAAAAAAGATTATAAATACACAGAAATAGGACATGTTATAGTTAAAGTGATAGATTTATAATTTTATTGTACATTTTTTCAATATACTAAATAAATAATTTACATAATTAAATTTATTATTTGTTATAAATTTAATATTTAAAATTTTAGCAAAAAATATTTTGTATATAAAAATTTTTATATGTGCTAAAGAAAGTGTACGAAAATAGATAAGTACACCTTATCACTATTTAGTGGTGCTTATTCATTGTTGTTTCATTGTTTTACTATTTTTTGAATTGAAATAAGGTGGTGCTTATTCACAACAGTTTACGATATATACAGTGATTTGATCATATGGAATCCTTTTATCTTTAAATGCACACCTTTTATAAATGCATGTTTATGGTTGGTCTCAAAGGGAGTGCATTTATGGAGGTTTCTCTGTATTTTATTTTTTATTACACGATTTAATCGATTTTGTCTTTAAAATAAATTCTCAAATTTTAATCGATTTTTAAATTTCAATCAATTTTTAAACATTAATTGATTCTACAAAATTGATCGATTCTCAAAATTGATCCCTACGCAGTTCGATTATCAAAAAAGATAACTATAAAGGTCAAAAAAATTTTACAAGGAATATTTATTGTTCTAAAACCTCTGGGCTTGTTATTCTTATTTGAATTGTTTTGTCAATATCAATACACTATAAATTGAAAATCCATACTTCTAATTTATTTTGTGTCTATTAAAGAGGCATTAATTTGCTACTTTAGATTGTTTTAAATTCTTCAAGAAAACTATCTTAAATAATACAAGAGAAGAGTTTTGCATACGTGGATCGAGCTTTTCCAAGAGTAGCTTCTTGGATAATAAACATGTTTATTAATACAAGACCAACAACTTAATAAACAAAAAAATTTGATATAAATAAAATTTGCAACGGGGAATTTTTGAGTTATCGTTATGGATCAACGAACGTAAATAATATTTGTATGGAAAAGTTGACCCACGACAAGGAAATAAATCCACCTTTCATGTTTATATCTTGATCTAAAATAATAAGATAAAGCTATCAAAACTCTTCCGTAATTTCAAACACTAAATGCTGTAATGGCACATTATATGCTAGCATATTGTTGGAATTCTATTGTTCTAGTTGATACCTGATACGAGGCTTCATGCGTAAACACGCGTTTCCATTTTACCAAAAGTCAAAGTGAATTTGACTGAACGATTATATATCGATATACGAATTTGGGGTAGAATATTGATTAATGATAAAAGTTCAAAAGAATCTATGTTATAACTTAATCTGGTATTCTTTTTGATATAATTGTATTGTTTTAAATTGGACAAAAATAGTATTCTTTTTTAAAGTCCAGTGTATCAAAAACGTAACTTTTTTTGTATACTAAAATAGAGAGACAGAAAATAAACACTGCGACTCCAACAATAAACTTGGTGTATTGTTTAAAATTCATAGATTAAATTGCAATAAATGTATTGTTTAAAACAGTTTATACAAGAAAACTTGGTAATTTATGTCTACTTCGACAATTGTATTGAAAAATTAAATTTTCTAAAATAAATAGGTACAATTTTTTATTTGACCTCTTGGTGGACCATCCAATAAGGGCACTGACATATATTACCTAATATCTTAGGGGGTGGGGGGGGGGGTAGAGCTGGATCTTAGGTGATACATAATTAAGAATTGGTTATAATCCCTTACCTGGTGGTGGGGAAATGGACACCTCTATCAAAGTGATATCAGGCAATATATGTCAGTGCCCTAATCAGTTCGAATAAATTTTTGATCAGCCCGACAAAACAAATCCGAAATATTTTGTTACATAGTCTTTAACGTCTCCCATGATTTGCATTGTCGAAAATACATGTACGTATGGTATTCCCAAAAAAATGCGAATTTTCTATGTATACGTAGTTACGTTTTTTATGTGTGTATGTGTACACATTACATATACGTACGTATGTAGTAATACGTAGTCTCGGAAATTACATTACACATTGTAATCGGTGTTCTCTCTTTTTTTAGGTTTTTTGGTATTGACTGGTGTTCTCTGAGAACACGGAGAGCAGCATCGCTGTTCACTTTTTGTAAACTGCAAAAAAACTATCGCTATACATTGGTTTGCGTCGTCTCGCACATTTTGTTTTTCATTACTGCAAAGCTCAGCTGAACGAAATACAGAAAATAAAAAAATCGTTTTTATAGTAAGTTGATTTTGAACAAAAAGTTTTCAACGATATAAATGTTCTAGAGATAATAATCCACTTATCTTTATACTTTTCATTTAATTAGAAAATATAAACGTAACGAAAAGAAAAATTAAGATGCAAAAATTATACACAAAGAATATGAAAATAATATCCAAGTCTATATTACTATCATGTCTCGTATTTTTGATCGTAATTACGAAATCAAATGCTGCAACGCCGACTATAGCCGCCGGAACCATTAACACAAGGTTAGATAGTTTTTTTTAACAAATTTAATTTGCAATTATTCGGTTTATTAATTTAAATTTAATTTTTCATTGTTGTTTTAAAAGTCCAACAACCTCTTTAGTTTCTTTCATTTTTAAATCTCAAATATCTTCGTCAACGAATCCTACCACAATTCCTACATCACGAACAACTAATTCTCCAACTCCCACATCCCCTGCTGCAAGTAATTCTCCAATTCCCACATCCACTGTTAACAATAATAATAGCAACGGTAACACAAGCAATAATGGAAATTCTAATAGCAATGCTAGTAACAACAACAGTAACAGTAACAGCAACAGCAGCAATAACAACAACAATAATAGCAACAATAACAATAATAGCAACAATAACAACGACAATAACAATTCTTCAAATAATGAAAATAATGAAAATTCAGGAAATCCTCAACAACCGTCTCCTACTCCACGAGAAACGACAACATTCAAGACTGTTGTATCCACTGTCGTCGAAGGATCGCAAACTAATTTAATGTATGTCTTTTTTGCATGCATGCCTTACATTTTCGACTTTATTAACTATTGGTATCGTCATTTTATAGCACAACGGTAACTCCGATCGTTATGACACAAATGCCGTAAGATATTTATTTTTATTTCCCCTGCATTGCGCGAGGTTTGAAAACAAAAAATTTATATGAACTAACTTTATTTTTTTCCTATTTGTAGGGGCACAAGTAAATCAGCCACTTCTACTCAGAATAATGCAGGCGTTTTGTTTTCAAATGCTGAGAGAAGTGATGACTATAGGATTTTGAGGAATGTTGTGGTTGGATTGGTGACGAGTGTTGGAATGGGTTTTTGGAGCATTTTACAGTTTGCTAATTAATTAATTATGTCTTTGTGCATTTTGGGTTTGGTTTCATGCATATTGGGGGGAGAGTTGAAAAGTTAGCGTTATATATAGACAATCTCGATATGACAAAGGTGGTCGGGCTTATTAGTGAGATTTTTAGAGTCTTCGTTATATCAAGATTTATTATAACGAATTCAAGCTTCATTATATCGAAATTTTAATTATATTTCATATTTTTGTGCAGTATCGGTATCGTAGTACATCTAAGTAGTAGTAATATGGATATTAATGTACGTAATAAACAAAATGTTATTATTGAATTTGATAAGTATTTTGATTTTTGTTATTGTGAATTTTTATTATTTCTCACTTGTAAAAAGAACAAAGTGAAAGAGTCTATCAATCATTGTTTCATTCCTGCTATATATTAATAAAACTATGCGAAAAATACATAGCAATGAGATTTATGGGTCTGTCAACATTCTCCCCTGTTCTTACAAGTCACGACTATGAATATATTGGAATCCTTTTATAACGAATTGAAAAGAAAAATGTCTTCATTGCATAATTTAATTGGTATGAGATTTTTTATTTATTTTACTTACCCATCTGTCGCATTTTGTGTCTAAATTTTTCTTTTTTTAGGTGCTGTCCATGATATTATCAACATTGATTGTAAAAAAAGATCTGAATCTGAAAGTACCATCTTTGATTTTAGTGTCAAGAAAGTGTTCACATATGATATTAATAAAGATATTCTTGAAGAAATCCATAAGTTTCCTTCCCATTCCAACAACTAATCATTAAAAATGTCTATGCTATAATAAATAGACTTGAAAAAGAAAAAAGTGTGTCCAGTTTAACTTCTCATGATTGTCACTGCATGTTTTGCAATTGTTATATAAGCATATCTTTCATAAACACATGCATAGTAATAAATTATTGATCACTGACATATGGAGAATATTTTAGGAAATGTTCAAAAAAAGTGAATTTGAGATATATTAAAGTTATGAGTTATTTATTGAATATGTGCAAACAAAACAACAAAAAAAGACTAAAAATTGAAGACTTGCTATGGCTGAATTAACTAAAGGAATGTGCAATAGATATTGAAATATTGAAGAGACAGGTAATATTAAGAGGATGATGATTTTTATCTCTATGTTAAAAGTCTTCTTGAATCTAATTATCTTGCAATTTAATCAAGTGAAAGAAAAAATTAAAATTATTAGTTTTAAAATTTTTTTAACAATAAAAATACAAATTATAATATTATTTCCCTTTATTATTACTGAATCTTAAAAACTATTAAATATCAATATATTATATTAAAAAATTTATTATATTATATATATTTATAATAATAAATAAAATTCATTTAATTACATTATTATACTATATATATTTTCTAATCAATTATTATTTATATATTTTAACTAATCATTATTAACTTACATGATCTACTTCCACTTTAAATAAGCTCTATATCAAGTATTATATATTCATAAACTTTCAGAAAAATTATATCTTTGTGTGAACTATAAAAAACTCAATAATATAATCAAAAAGAATAGTTACTCATTATTACACATAAATAATATATTAAAAAGATTATTTGATTCTTAATAATTTTTATCACTAGATTTTGCAAATGGTTTTTGACAAGTTAAATTAGATTCAATTACAAAAGAAAAGATAACTTTCATTACAAAATTTGAAATTTATGAATTTGAAATAATATTATTTGAACTTTGTAATAGTTCAGTAATTTTTTAATGACTAATAAAAAATGCTTTGAATAATTTACTTTGAAAATTTGTAATTGTATATATAGATAATATTAATATTAAATCAAAAATAATTAAAGAATATTTGAATTATTTAAAAAAATATTTGAAAAATTTAGAACTCATAAATTAAAACTCAGTCCAGAAAAATACTTCTTTTTCAATTCAAAAATATCTATTCTTGAATATATAATTAGTAGAAATTGAATTCAAATTAATTCTAAAAAACTCAAAATCATTAAAGAATTTCTAATTCCAAAAGATTTCAAATAACTTAAAGACTTTATCATTTTGGTTTCTTATTTCAAAAAGTTTGTTAAAACTTTTTCAAGATCATAATATTATTGAATAAATTATTGAAAAAGAATATTAGATATATTTGAATAAAGAACAACAATAAGTATTTGAAGATTTGAAGAATCATTTAATAATATTATTGATCCAAATTTTAATAAACTATTTTTTCTATATACTAATATATTTATCTTTGTACTTGAAGCAATTCTACAACAAAAAGATGATAATAATATTATTGCTTATACTAGTAGAACTCTAAATAAATATAAATAAAATTATAGCATAACTGAATTAAAATATCTAGCTATTATTTGAATAATCAGATACTTTCACTATTACTGTTACAGTTACTTTAAATGAAAGATTTCTTCACTATTAGTAAAAGAGTTATATGAGTTAAGAGAGAGAAATAGACTAATAAAATTGGTCAATGCAAAAATAAGTATCTAAGCCTATGCCAATTTTGACAAAAATTGTTAAACAATTCTATCAAAGATAAAAAGAGGAGTTGAGAGAGTGTGTTCAGAAAGGTAATTGATAAAAAGAGATTGCTAACTAAAGAAAAGGATATTGATATTTCTATACTTATAGTCATACATTCTAGTACTTTTAATACCAAAAGAAATGAATAACTAAAAGAATTATCACTTATTTAGAGTTGCGATACACAATTATATAAATCAATATCACTTATTTAAAGTTGTGGTACACAACTATACAAATCAATATCACTTATTTAAAGTTGCGGTGCACAACTATACCAAAAATAATACTATAGCAAATCAATATACTTATCCAAAAATACTTAATCATCTTTTTCAAATTCAAAAACAAAAATAATAATCAGAAATTCAATTCTACACAAATCAATATTTGGTTTCTTGATCTTGCTCAAGATTTATGAAAAGTGACTTGAATTACAAGATTTGAAGTTCAATCAACAAATTATTTTTGCCAGATAACTTGTTTTGATGGAAGAAGATACAAGGATAAATATTAATTTTATAACAATAAGGCAGTTATTAACTTATTGTAGCAAGATTAAAATTTATTAATTTGTTTAAGCATTGAAACATGAAATTGATACATGGAAGAGCACTCCTATTTATACAAAATTTGTTAATACATTTTAATTCTATCTACATTATAAAATTATAAAAATATATATATATAAAAGATAGAAAAGGTAAATAGAAAAAGATAGAAAAGGTAGAAAATAAGAGTAGTAAAAATAGAAAGAATAAATATTGAAGGTAGAAAAGGTAGATAAATAGGATAGAAAAGATAGATAATTAGAGTAGAAAAGGTAGATAACTAGAGTAGAAAAGGTAGATAAATAAGATATAAAAGGTAAAAGAGGTAGAAAATAAAGGTAAAAAAAGTAGAAAAGATAGAAAATAAAAGTATAAAAGATAGAAAAGATAGTTAAATAGAGTATAAAAGATAGGAAAGGTAGATAATAGTTATTATATGATTATTAAATGTATATATTATTTTTATTGATTTGTTATTTTGTTACTATTTTTGAGGATTTTCATATTTTTTACTATTTTTGAAAGATTCATTAATTACAGAATCATTGAAAATAAATGTAATATTTGATCCATCTTCAAAGATTTTGTTCCACAAAATTTTAAAGATTCTTTCAGAATTCTTTAATTTCACTATTCTTCATTCGTCGAATTTGAGTAATATTCAAATGATTCTTTTGTTATTGAATCTGATTTTTATTATCGAATATTTTATAGATATTTTGTGATTGTGAAAGGTTTCTCTTCAATATGTATTCCAAAAGATTCACTAAGTTCATCTTTCAATTTATATTGTTGAAGTTTGTATTTCTTGGAGGTTTGTTGATTAATTTTCTGATTTTATAATAAATAATTATTCTTTCTATGTTTTCTAATTTTTCGATATATACTCGTCTGAGTAATTTTTCAAGTTGATTTTTCCAAATTTCAAAATTAGAAGATTTCTCTTTAGATCTCTCTTAAGGTATTTCTTCAATGAGATCTTTTTCTTTTTGAGTTGATAAAGAAAAAGATTTTTCTCCATTGTCATTATTTGTTGATTTATTAGTTGTAATAAGTGATTCAAATAGTTTTTCTAGATTAATTAGATCTTCTGATTTAATTTTATCAAATGTAGGATCAAGTATAAATGTTGATTCATCAATGGATGATTCTTCTAAGAGAATAGCGAGATTAACTACTGGTTTTTTAGCTTTTTCAACTGGTGATTTGAAAAGTTCTGGATTATCAACCAGAAATTTATTGATTATATTAGAGTCTTGAGATAATTTATTAGCAGATATAAAGTATTAATCTTGGATATTAGTGTCATTAATGGTTATTTTATAGATTGTAAAAGTCAGGATTGCTTTGGAATTGTAAAATAATAGTTTTTCTGTCATTGTTCCAAAATATTCTTTCATATGAGGTGATATCCAAGTGGATAAAGACATGATAAAGGAAAAATAAGATAATATAAGAGTTTTTGATAAGAAATAAGAATAAGATAGAATGTGAGTGTTTGAAAGTTAAAAGTGGAAAAATGGGATAAGAGGAGTATTTATATAAAAATTGAAAAGAAAAAAAGATAAGATATTAAGATAAGATATAAAGATAAGAATAGAAAAAAATAAGATAAATAAGATAAAAGGTAAAATATAGTGATAAAAATTAAGAATTATGAATAATTAGAGGTTTAATTAAATCTATAACTACTTCTGGTTCAAATAATAGTCATCTTTCATGGAATCTTTTTAATTGGTTACTGTAAAATTTCTTTTTTAATACTTGTCCAAGAAAGAATAATTCTTTTCGAATGAAGTTGCATTTTGCTTTGTTAAGTTTTAATCCAACTTTTCTTATTCGTTAAAATATCAGGTTGAAATATTGTAAATATTCTTCAAAGATACATGAAAATATATTAATATCATCAATA